ATATAACATAAATATTCAAATGTTCAACTTAAAATTACAAAAATATAGGGTTAGGAAAATGGAAAAAATAAAAAAAGAGGCACAATTCTCAAATTGAAGACAAAAATCATTTTGTATGACCTCCAATCCGTGAACTTTGTTGTGGGTCGACTCGGTGTGGGTGTGGCGCCTGTTTTAATTACCGAGTCCAGCTCACCCCATGGACGAGTCGACCTACCGGTTGACAACCTTGGTCTTGTAGTGGTTTTTCGGAGAGGTGGGTTCTCACAAACTAAAGATGAACTTGAATGTGAAAGGAGAAAATAATAATTAAGGTAAGTAACGAAATAACAAAAATAATTTGAGTTTCAATCTTCTCTTCATTAATCATAAAAACATGTACATATTTATGTAAAACATTGTATAAAACAAAATGTCAGCTTCATTAAATCAAGAAAACGAAGATAAATAGAGATCACGAGTCATCAATCTTTGTTTCTCAATAAATCAAACAGTCATGACCCTGAAAACTAGCTCCACTACTAAATAACATCCTCTTACTCAGGCCACTAAGCTAACCACTCCCCTAGGACCTATTTGACACAACTCGAAATAAACAAATTAAAAATTAAACCAAACTGCATCATTTTTAACTAACATTTAAATTTGACTCCTCTTGGTGCCAAGTCTCTTTCAGCTTCCCAGCAACACCGAGTTTGACTCTTGCTTCAAACAAAACATCCCCTTAACTGAAGCCTATTCGGATTGTTGTTTAACAATCAACAGTCAGAAGAACATCTCCTCATGATAAAAGGTCACTTTTGGGCATGAGAGACTACTCATAATAAAAAGTTCGCGTGATTGAAGATGTGTTTTCATGTAGTGTTTAGTCATTATGTCAACTGCATGAGCCCGAGAAAATAAAACCTCACATCTATATTCTTGCTTCTATCATAAAAAAAACTATATTATTAGATTGCTTAATTGTGAAGCTATTGTCACACATAATCACTATTCCTCCATTCACACTCTCCCCCAACCTATCTCCTCCAACTCTTATGAGTCACACACATTATGCTGCATAGTAGGATGCATCAATCTGGTTTAGTGGTTGACAAAGTGTCTACTGGTTGCTTCTTGGATTCCTATGAGACAACTACTCCCGAAAGAAAAGGATGTATCCACTGGTACTCTTCCTGTCATCAGTGTCACAAGCATAGTCATTGTGTGTATAGCCAAGTAGACTGTCCTCCCATACTTTCTTTGATACAAAATTCCATGGAACATTGTACCCTTTAGGTACCTTAGAATCTTCTTCCCTGTCAGCATATGTTGTCTTGTTGGAGCCTCCGTATACCAACTTAGCAAACAAACAACAAACATTAAGTTTGATATGGTTGCAGTGATTTGTAATAGGGGTCCAATTAGCTTCTTGAACTCAATCTAATTCACAGGACACCCATCTCCATCCTTTGATAGTTTTGAACTAGGAGCAATTGGATGTGCTCAAAATTGCACTCCATTAACTTTAAACCTTTTTCGAATTTCTATTGCTACATCTTTTGACAGATAAAGATCCCAGCTTCACTCTGTATGACTTCCAGTCCTAGGAAATACCTCAATTTTCTCATGCCAGTCATCTCAAACTTAGCCTTCATTGACTGCTTAAATGATTCTATCATCTGATTGTTGGTATTAATGTACATGGCATCGTCTACGTATAGACTTACAGTAAGTATATCCTTCCCAGCTCTCTTAAGGAGAAGAGTAGCTTCACTTTGACACCTCTCTTGTTTGTTTTCAGTTTGGTCTCCTGCAGGAATCCCCTTTATTCATGAAAGAATTCGCACACATTTCTCTTTGCCTCAAACTCCACACCCTTTTCTTGTTGTTGTCCCATGCTTAAAAGTTTTGTTTTTAAACCCGGAACAAATAAAACATCATGTATCACAAGAGATACATGACCTAGCCGCAATCTTATTGTTCCCTTACCAGCTACATGCATTTAGTCTGTGGTCATTCCCCAATCTCACTTTGCCTTTTAGATTTGTATCCATAAATTCAAACCATTTCTTATCATCACTCATGTGATTGCTGCATCTAGAATCTAAAAACCACTGATTTTTCATTTTCTCCATCAGAGTTTCTTTTAGGAAGAACCGTCAATAGAACATAATAAGTCATGTCACTGTGAGATTTGGAGTAGTGAGCCTGCTGATTTGTGTACTACTCGTTCAGATATATCGAAAATGACCTAAGTTTTGACACTTGAAGAATTCAACACTTTCCCCATTCCATCCTTTTCTTCTTCCTATGGCTTGATAACCACTCCTATCTTCTCCTCTTCTCCCTCTACCTCCAAATTTATGAGATATCCTTAACTTAAGGCCTTATCCTTTTCAACCAGAGGTTCTTGTGAAACTTCTGCTCATGAACAAGCAGAGAGCTCTGAATAACATCAATAGATAGAGTCTCAATATCTTTGAACTCCTCAATGGAGCACACTACATAGTTGAATCTCTCTGTCAATGTTTCTAAGATTTTTTCCACTATTTTCTCATCGATCATATATTCTCCATAGTTTCTCATATCATTAGATACCATCATAACTTGGATAAAATCGAAGCCTGTAGCTGAGCTTTCTTAACATTATTAGTTCCCTAAAATTTTGTTTTCGTAGCATCCTAGAGTTGCTTTGCAGTGGCTTTGTTGGCGATGGAAGATAGTTTTGATAATGGAGTAAAACAAATAATTTTTAGCCTTCAAATTTTTGAGCATGAGATCATCTAGACTCGTACCCTCAATAGAAGATAATTGTACACCATGAGTTAGTTACTGATTGCCTTTACTAAGAACACTCCAGTACTCCTTGGATCGAAGAAGATTTTCCATCAACGAACTCTTGTGATCATATTCTCCATCAAATTTAAACATGTCAACTTGAGCAAAACTAGTATTATCAATCATGATTTCAAAGCACAAGCAACTCAAGGAACACTATATCTTTACTCACCCCAGAAATAATTTCCTCACTAGATACCTTTGTGTCTCCTTGATGCAGACCTTGTAAATAAACACTAGTTTCACTCCTAAACAATCGCTCAATGTACTCTCAATAGCTCCTTATATCAACAATGGTTACTACTTGCAAACTAACTAAGTAAATATATTGAAATCCAAACTCTCGATTAATCATAGAGACCCAAATATGGTAATGATTTCCCGATTTCTCGAAGGCCAAGAGATAGTCCCTTAATGACCCCGTTTGTTTGATCTTTGCTACTGTTTCATGGCATGAAACTCTTTTCCAATAGACAAAATGAGCGGATAACTCTTTTAGAAATCGTGACACCGTGATTTTTCACGCCCGAATTTGCATATGTACGATCCAACAATTGTCATCTTTGATTAGGATCACCCTCCCTGTGACCCAAAAAGGTGCCTTATGCTCATTCAAATTGAAACTTGATAAATTGATCAACCCTTACAAAACCAACTTGAAGGATCCATGTGAGTCTCTCTTATGCCATCAAAATTATCAATCTAGCTACAAGATGAGATACATACATACTTAGCTTCCAAATAAGGGACCCTTGGGAGAGTGTATATATCTTGTTGATCAAATACGGTATGTTGAAGTTATTCTTACACCTTCCAACCCTAGACATTTCTGTTTCGAATTATTGTTCATTATTTTGTGGTCCCTTTTACTCATTCAACCTTAACCACATCTCCTCTCTACCTTGGTTGAATTTTCTTTTCCCCCCTTATCTAAGAGGTCTTTAGGGACTGCACCACATGATCTTGTCCCCTCTACCTTATCTCTTCTGCTCCACACTGACATACTTATAGTACAGATTGCCCATTTATATTATTTACTTTCTTCTACCACCATCTCTCTGTCTCTCCTTCTCTAGAGCTCCATAGGGTTTTCTTTGCTGCCAAAGTTTGAAACTTGGTACCCATTTCCACGCCCTAGTATGAAATCCGTACATGCTACCACCACCCACTAGCCAAGCTAGTGCTGTCTTCCTTGCCTTTTACTAACCCATCTCAGATAAACTAATAAGCAGGCGGACTGGAGGGAAAGAGGAAACTAAGAAATCATGAGTAGTAGTAGTAGTGTGGTAGCTATCAGTATCATCACTTTGCCAACTCTCACTCCTCCCTGTAGCCACGTGAAATTGTCACCCCACCACCATCATCATTCATTAATAGGGTTTAGCTGAATGGTGATCCTCAGTTTCCCTCTCTGTTGTTGCTTTCCAAATGCTGCTGAAACACCCTCCTCCAATAACGTCAACTCGATCATTTTACAGATAGATCACAGCTCCTCCTCTATGTGTTTGTAGTTCCTCCTCCTCCTCCTACTTTGTAATTAGGGCACCCCCACCTTTTGCTTTTTTGCTTTTTTTCTGGTTCATCAGTATCATTTTGTATGTCTTCAACTCACTCATTCGCTGGGGGGTTTTAATGGCTCAAAAGGGTCTGCACAGAAATTAGTCCCACTTTTGTGCCAAATTTATCTTCCCATTTCTATGCATGCGTAGGGGTTCTACCTATTATTCACTGCCAGCTCGCTGCCCTATAATCTCCAGTTTCCTGCTGCTGCCTGGCCTTGAGATTAGCCCTAGCTAATTAATGACATGTATGGTCCAACCAGCAACAGCAATTTCGACTCATTGTTTGTTGATGATGATGATGAGCACCACAGTTTCTGCCTTACCAACAACATGTTGACACCTAATGATCTCTCCACAGATGCCCTCCTAAACCCTAACCCTAATCCAACTGATCATCATAACTACACCTATCCCTCCTTCATCAACTCTCCTAACAACAACTTCCTCCACTATTCCCCAACTCCAACTCCTTACGATGATTTCTCCTTAACCCACTTCTTAGCTCAGTACCAGCACCAAGACGATCAAGTACTAGAGAACCATGATCAGCAAGTTCAGCCTCCTCTTCCTCCTCCACCGGCTGCCGAGGCTTCAAGCAAGGAGAAGAAGAATGATCTCATGAAGGAAACTAGCATTGGTGGTGGTGAAAGGAAGGCGGCTGTGGCGCCAGCAAGACCACAGAGGCGGAGGGCAGTTGGGAAGACGGACAGGCACAGCAAGATCTACACGGCGCAAGGGGCGAGGGACAGGCGGATGAGGCTCTCCCTCCCCATAGCGCGGAGGTTCTTCGATTTGCAGGACATGTTAGGGTTCGACAAGGCCAGCAAGACCATCGAGTGGCTGTTTCAAAAGTCCAAGTCCGCCATCAAGGACGCCCTCAACATCACTCATCTCCCCGATGACGACGGAGTTTTCATCTCGGAGAAGAGTGAAGTTGTTGTCTCCGTCGGCGGAAGTGGAGAGGAGATCATCGAAAACGACGACAAGGTGAGATCGACGAGGATCGGTGACAAGGCAGGAAGCAAGGGTCATGATGGAAACTCAACAACAGGTGGTTGTGCAATCAAGGATCCAATGGTGGCGAGGGAGTGTAGAGACAAGGCGAGAGCGAGGGCAAGGGAAAGAACCAGGGAAAAGATGATGATCGCCAATGGCCAACATAACCCTAGTATTAATGCTTCTTCTTCTTCTTCTTCTTCATCTTCTTTCTCTTCGATTATTATGGACTACACGGTGGTTCATGATTCCCATACCCACCAAAACCCTAGAGCTCCATCCTCGTCAAATATTCCTCAGGACCTGCAGCTTCAGTCGTCAGCATGGGATGAGTACTCAAATATTGGCACCAGGTATGGTAATAATAGCTTCTACTAAATTACAAATCCCATCATCATTTCCCCCACACTATGCTGCTTTCATTTGATGATGATCAACACATCGACCACAAAAGGAAGAAAAGAAATTAAACAAGGAAAATGAGGGAATAAGCCCTGTAATTTCTTGTTTATTTGACAGTTAATTTCCTCGGGCTGTATTGAGTTTGCTTTATCAACATGTGGTCTCTTTTTGCTTATATTACACCATGCATGTTTCTTCTTCACAAATGTTTTGGTCAACCTTCATTCAGTTTCCCCCCACAAAAGGTAAGATTTTTCATTTGTATACCGTTATAATAAACCTCAAGAGTTGGCCTACGTGGAGATGAAAACATTCATCATGCTTGGGGTTCGAATCTTGTTGGTCAAGATTATTGTCAAACCGAATTAAGCCATCAAGCTGATTTGCCAAGTGGGTTGAGGTTTAAATGGTAGAATCTTGATCAATCAGTTCAAGTCTTGTTTAACATAATATGTGAACCTCTCATTCCAAAGACATGATGTATATATTTGACATATTTTAAAACAATCTCACTAATCTATATTCATATATTACCAAATTAGTTCTTCAAACACAATATGTATTACCAAATTATCAATCCTCATCTTTAAACCCTATTTTGACTGGTCAGACCACTAAGTTTTAACTGGTTTTATCCGATTTTGACTAGTTTAACCTGGTTTTAATCAGTTTTGACTTTTTTCCCTGAACTGTCCAACAGGAGTGTACACCAACCATTTAGATAATCGGTTATGGTCCGACCTGGTAGAACTGGTTGGCTAGATACAGGTTTGAGAACCTTGACTAGAAGTCAAAGGGTCTCGTTGTATTGGCTTGTACACGTCTGTTTTGTCATTTTGGATTGACCGATGTATGGGCTTAAACATGTTTATTTTACTAGTTTGGGCCTGCTGGTCTCTAACATTTTCCTTACCAAGTTGGACTAGTATTAGGTCAGTCTTGAAAAATTGTTATATATACATTCTCAATCTCTATCACATAAATATACTCAAGTATACTGAAATTGGATTCTCTTGCCTATGGTTTACCTAACGCACAACATGCTAGTGAACCACATAAATTTGTGTGCTCTTAACCTTCTTGTATTGTCGATTTCCCAATTCATTATAACATGTAATACCAATACTTGCCTAGAAGCTGAGTTTATAGTTTCATTCATCGAGCAGATCCAAAGCCATTCAAGCGTAGCATCCCCAAGACCAAAATGGGGATCTGAGAGCACTTTGATGAGATTGAGACACTCCCAAAATACACGTCTTTCTCAAAACCCTATAAAGGCTGCTAGCTAGCTCCCGTGCAACAAGCAACCCTTTGGCTTCTGCAAATACAGAAAGCGGGGGCATGCAGGTTTGACAGGAAGAGTTGAAGATATATATATATATGTAGTGTTCATAGTTCAAACCATATTATTCATTGTACTCGGTAAAAGTAACACCAAAAACTAAAGATTGCCCAATAAAAATAACCAAAACAAGCACTGCGTTCCCCCATTTTATTTATTACTAATTAACCATCACACGACTTCCCCTCCTTGATTCTCTGCCTCTGTTGTGACATCAACCGCCGATGCAACGCTGGTACACCGGAGCAGCGAAAACTTTCCTAGCCTCTTGCTTGACGTTCACAGCAAGGGTTGGGGTCGGCGCCGGACCACCTGCAGCAGCTTCTTGCTTGATAGTCACCGCAGAAGCAGGTCTGGGCTGTTGTTCCTGCAGCTGCTTCACCACAGTTTCCACCTTGGGAGTAGCCATGGCGGACCTTGAACCACTACTCATCCTTTGCATCTTTTTCAGAACCTTAGTTATATGTAGACTTAATTAGTATCTCTTTATCTCTGTTTTGCCCTCTGATGATCGATATTGTTGTAGGTAGTTTTGGTGCTTGGTTAAGAAATTGGCTGGATTGAGGAGTAGTATTTATATAGAAGATCATTGGGAAGATCGATCGATCGATTAGGGTTGCAATTTGCATGGAAACGTTCATGTACACTAGTTAATGTAATTGCGTGGAAGCCGAAGGAGTCCTCGTTTTTCTTAAATAGGTGCTAAATTTCGTTGCGTTTCGGCAGTGGATTGAAGCAATGAACAACTATTGTGGAGAATTTGGTTCATGCATGGAGAGCGTACGTTCAATCAGTACTCCAGTGATTACTGAATAGTGAATACTATAAAACAAAAGGAATGGGAGAGAAAACCTAATTCATTAAACACGTACGGTTGCATATATACTTGGACCAAAGGGAGGACAAACAATCTAATTTTTTCCCCGTTGAATAAACTGTCTAATTTAAGTCCTACTGGCAGACTTGTCATTATAATATGAGATTGGAAGTAACGAAATTATATAAGTTTGTCATTGCCGTTCAATTAATTATCTGAGTAGGGAACAAATGATTTGTTGGTTTAATCTCAGAAAGGAAGGAGAGGTCTTAAACAGAATATGTTCTGATTATGATTTAGAGTACAAGAACCTGTCAATTAATTGTCTGAGTAGGATCTTCAAAAAAAAAAAAAAAAAAGATTATCTGAGTAGGAACAAATGATTTGTTGGTTTAATCCCAAAAAGGGAGACCGCTGAATCATAAGCCCCGTTCAGTTAGCTCAAATCAAGCCAAGTGAATAACTGTACAATTCGACCAATTACTTAGGCCATTGAAGTCATTGGGCTCCACACTTGTCTCTGCCCTACTCCAACAGGTCCAAAGTGCTCCTGGTTTACAGGGCTGCATCTCTGCAGATAATGGTCCGGGGACTTTCCTGGGCCCAAAGCAGGCCCATTCACTTAGTTAAGCGGTCGTTGCATAACATGTCCAAACCTTGTCAATATATTTTGCTATTTATCTTTGTTTCCAGTGATGTGGTACAATGCTAGAGCTTTTTTATTTTATTTTATTTTATTTTATTTTATTTTATTACTATAATGCTTGAGCTTTAAGGTTGTTGTTTGTGACTTCGAGGAGATTCAATTTGTTGGTTTTGTGAGACTTGGGTAATTTGATTCACCATCATTTCTTAGCAGTACCAGAGAAAATTATAAAACTTAAAACATTAGGGCACTCTTCTCTGTCTCTATGACCATTAAAATTTCAAATTATTAAGGTGCACACGAATTTGTATAATAATAAAGATAATGATCGGGAATCTTAAGCAATTAGAATTTGTAGATGTTGAACTTGTAGAGCCCTCTCATTAGCAAATGGAATGGTACGACCGGTGGTATAACCAGTTTGTGCCGGTTTAAAAAAAAGTGAAAACAATTAATATCTCATGTATTTAATCATATTTAAAACATATTTGTGGACAATTTAGTTACAATCCAACAAATATCATCAACTTTTAACTATTACATTCATAAAATAAACAATAAATTAATTTTTTTATTCATTGAACTTATTAAAATGATGTCATTTTACTTAGAATGCGTAAGTCGATCATACCGGTCATACCGGTAATATCATGTCAGTTTCATGACCAGCACAGGTTAAACCAGGTTCAACCTGGTGGCATGCCACCGGCGTGACAACCATGACTAATATCAAACCATATTACTACTCATTCTCATTAATGGTAAAACCAACAAACCAACCAAATAAACATAGTGAAAAACAAAAACAAAAAAAAAAAAAACAGAAAAGGTCCATAAATTTTATTAATTATTATTAACCATCACACGAGTTCCGTCCTTGTTCTCCTTGTTCCTGCACCACCGTGACACCAAGTCATCAACCGCCGATGCAACGTTGGTACACCGGAACCACCACCACTTTCTTGGTCTCTTGCTTGACGGTCACCGCAGCAGCAGAGCTCGTGGTCACGGCAACGCCAGCCTCTTGCTTGATAGCACTCACGGCGGTGGGTTTTGCCTCTTCTTCCTGCTTCACCGTAGTTTCCACCTTGGGAGCAGCCATAGGCCATGCGAAGCAAGCTCCATCCATCATCATCTTTTCAAGCCTTAAAACTTAACCAGTTAGCAAGCTATCGAGTTATCAATCTCCCTCTCTCTCTCTCTCTCTCTCTCTATTGTGCTCTTCAGACAGGTAGCGTTTGTGCTTGATAAAAGAATTCGCATGGATCCAGTGTTTATATAGAGACTGGGTGCATGCATGGACCGTTCATGTACACTAGCTACTTAATATGATTGGAGAAATCCACCGATGCAAGGAATGCATTTATTTGGATTCAAGAAATCCACCGATACAACCATTAAGGATAATTTGATGCATGCATCGGAGTCTATCAACTTAGCCAAGAGCTTAAAGTTCTGAGTGGCGAGGATGATAAGTAAATCTCAAGTGTACGGCTGATCGAAAGGTTTTGGCGGAGTTATGAACACGTCCACGAATCGACATTACGCACAGATAATGCAGAACGTTACCATTAAGCCTACATCAATACATCATCCCCTTTGTCGGAGTTTCTGCAGTGAAATCGGTTCGAGTATGCGGATCCTGTCAAGTTTACACTAGCAGAAACAGTCCATGACAGGTATCAGCTTTGATTTTATCCATAACAAAGAATCTTGCAAAAAAACTACAACAGCCAACAACAGGCGCTACAAACTCATTGTAATCCGCTCACAAACAAACGAAAATGCACTGCGAAGAAGGCAGAAAAACAACTTACTATTTACAATCCCCAACCTCCTTCGCAGAGACAACACCGTATAAGAAAAGCAACTGCCACTCGCGCTTATCTCACTTGGACCTCCTTGAAGGCGCAGCAGCACTCTGCGACCACGAAGAAGACTTGAATCCGCCTGTCAGCAAGTTGTTAGCTGCTGCTGCACTTATTCTCCTCCTCTTTGCTTCCAGCTCCAGATGCTTTTTACTAGACACAGCTGATTCGGGAAAAATAGATGTGGCATGTATCAGTGCTCTCTTGTCCATCCTATTTCTCTCAAACTTGCCAACGAATTTGATTTTGGCAGCAGCAGCTGCATCTTCTTTGCTGCTAGGGAGCAGCCGCATCCCATACCCCTTTTTCCTTGCAGCACTCTCTTCTTCTGCAACTCTCTTCTTCTGGCCTCTGAGGCGGGCACGGAGTGCCTTGTTGAGGGCATAATCGTCTGAGTGCCTATTATCAGATACCCTCTGTAGTCTCACTAGAACTGGCTCTGCTTCTTTCTTCTTCCTCAAGTCCTCTTCTTGGTGTTCCAGTCGATAAAATGGATCTGAAAGTTTTCCCTTTTCTGCACAAGTAGGAACAACCCCAGTTAACACCAATTTGAAAGCAAAAAAATAGAATATATCAATAAAATGAGTGCACATTAACAAAAAGGGAATGCAGATGGCAAATGTTTCTACATTTAGCCTGGAAATGGTGGTTTAGACTCTACAGTAGTGACATACAATACAGAGACTGGAGTAGAGAACCTACCTTCATCAGCTGGGAGTAGAAGGGTCTCTGCATCTTCATTGTCGAAATCCTCAACCTTTTTCTGAGCCCCACTAATGATAACATATTCACAATTTTTTGGATCTGTTTGAATAACTATTTCTTGTTTGCAGCATGCAGCTTTCATGGAAAAGCTCCATATCTGTAGGCCAGAGAAACAAAATTGTGATTAGGAACAAATTTCAACAATAAAAAGATGAATCATTTAATAGAGCATAATGACGACTGGGTAGAAAACTTCCAACCTAATTTGGCAAATCAAAATTTATAGATGAGGTTAAGTGCAATGACAGGGAAACTTGAAAGAGAACAGTTCTGCCTGACTCCTACAGTCATATACAGTTATCATGTTCGACCTTAATAACTGACAGAATCATAGAGCTGGGAGATGGGACAACCTCTTCTAAAATTGCGGATTTGTAAGTATCTATTAGGAGAATAAAAAATAAGTTAGGCAGGTTACCTTGGTAGAATAGTAGTTTCCTACTTGTTTCTTCTCCGCATTAAACCGAACACCCTTAGCAATCATAGAATTGCAACCACCACACCATATATTGAAAGGCATCTCGAACCTGAAAGCAAAGATGGATATTAGTTTAAGTGACAGTTGGCAGTTGAAAAGGGTAGCAGGAATGTATGGTTAAAAGGTCAATTAATCTCGCAGCTAGGATTAACAGCATTCGAGGCCATATTTCGTTGCATGGTGGGACAGGATCTCAGTAGAATGGTTTCTGCTAATCGAGAAGCTACATTCCTAGCATTACCCAACCACATCATTATATATGGTGTAATCCCACAAAAGATCCTCCAACATCTATGTTTGTACAATACTAGTCACAGGGATCCTTGTTACACCCAGCAGACAACTAATAGGCATTCCATCGCAATAAAATGCAATTTGTCACTGACCTTATTATCAGAATGCCCTGGTCTATTTTTCTTGCTCTCTCCCTCAAAGCATGTTGTCCATTGAATTTGTTCAAGGAACCCTGAATAAAATGGCAATATGAGACTTCCCCCGAAACAGAGAAGAAAAGTAAGAACACCCACAAAAATAAGATACTAAAGTATTTCTTTGTTTATGCACCTTTTTTGGCGACCATTCTGGCGGGTAGTAGAAGTTGTCTGCTCTAGCTGCTGCAAGGGTAGACTGCAATAATACAGAGCAGTTAGAAGCAGCATACAAAAGAAAAGGAAAAACAAAACAAAGCAAGTGCTAGCATATTAGGGTTGGAAGCTAAAATTCTCAATTCAAAAGCCGAAAACCCCCTTCCTAAGCTTTTCATAATTGGTACTCATCCATGTATCCAAAAGCTGAAAACCCCCCTTCCTGAACTAACTTCCAATGAACACGTATAAGCATATTATCGAATAGTAGTCATCACAATATCACGAGCCAGCCACGCTAGCATGATCACATAGCAAAACAAGCTACCACTCTCAACCCAGAAACCAATATAGCCTAAAGTCCACCAAAACACCCCGTAGCCAATACAAAATGAAGCTAGAAGGAAATCTGCAGCGAAGACCAGTAAAGTATAAGACTTTCAATTCGATCTCCTCTTTCCAATATAACTACAATTTGCCACAATAAATCAAACACCAATTCCAATTAGAGCCGTCGACTTATCTTAGGCCAAAGGCAAGAATTCCAATCAAACAGGGTACAAGGATTCAATAAAGACTGGAAGCAAAAGGAAAAACCCTAACACGAAATATCCCTCCAACTACGACTGCGCTAACTTTTAACGCCATAAACAGATAGTTGCAAATTAGAAGATGCAATCAGTACATCGAATTGAAAACTTCAGATCGAAGGTGTGGAGATCAGCGTACCATTTCCGATTCTTGCTTTCGATATCAGATTTGCGTCCTCGGCAGTGGGAAGGCCCCTGTTTCGTACCGCCTTCCGCTTGATCGTCGATTACTCAATTCCACGGGAAGTTTGTCGTTCGGACACGGGCAAAACAGCCGGATTTACCCCGTTTATATATACCAAACAATGCGGCGTGGTTTGTAGCGGAATTGGGTTTGGACTTAGTCGGTGCTTGTGCTACGATTTGTCCAATATATTCCGGAACCAATTATCTGGGCTGAACTTGACCAGTTGGCCCGTGAGGTAATCCTAATTGGGCTTCTGTTTTTTTTAGTAGAAAATTGGGCTTCTTTTTGGACCACCGGCTGGGTTCATCACTTAATCCGATGTCCCATCACATGGTGAATAAACGAATAGCTCAATTCTCCTACAGGCAATCCCATAACCCAGAAAGATTAAGACGCACTAATATGATTCATGATGATTTTATCGTGCATTTTCTATCTTCAATGCTTGAATGTACCGCGTAACGATTTTATAAATAATTGTCTCGTGAAATGCAATGATCCAACAGTCATTTAGGATCATTGTTTGACTGAGTATATCTTTTTCTTTAATGTTATTGAAGATTGAAGAGTCTTTGATGCCGCAGAATGGGTAGTTGAATGCATACCCCAATGTGAAGCCATTATAAGTTCAACACAAACATGGTGATCATAGTTAATCAAAATTTTCCTAATTAACTAATTAATAAAGTAGGCGGTGCGAAATGTTAGAAGAGGCCATTTGTATTCCCAAGCAGTTGCGTTGCTGGGTTTGTATAATAATGAAGCACCCGTGCAAAGCATTATTAACGGGTGCTTTCTTTCTTTCTTTCTTTCATACACTTTAATTTACTGGCCATGCATATTGCTTTCTCCAACATTATATACTCTCATGATCTTCCATCAATACGCCACCGCCCCCAACGAATTACCTTTGCTTTTGCTCACAGAAAATGTGGATTGCACATTATTCCACACCACCACCCATTTCCTATTAATTATTATTTGACCACGACTAGCTTGTTTGAATTGAAATCCACTACACTCAAATACTACAATTTTACATTTGTTATATAGTGTTCTTAAATTATCTCTCAATGTTCATCTGAGGGATGTATATAACAGGACACATTAGTCAAGATGGTAACGACAGTCTTTGTAAAATCTATATACATATGTCATTGGATTGTAGATCTCCTTCTTTTGATTCATTTATTCTTCACATCCACATAATGAAAGAAATTGCAAAATTTAATCGATGAGTATATAGAGAGAAAAAAAAATTATTCATAATTGAAACAAAAGATGATAAACAAGACGTTCATATATTGCTGAATCAATAAGTTATATTTGACATCAATCACATATATATAGTATATCGGAGTATCGTGTTTCTGATTGATGCAATTTGACAAAAAAAAAATTAAGGACTTGTACACCATAACTAGAGTATCATTTTGGAAAATTTTGACTCGCAAACTTTATACTCCAGATAAAAAAAATATACGAATTGATAGGAATGGAACTCTTATCTTTCCTTTTTGAGGCCACGTACGAGTATAAACCCTTTCTTACCTAGTACTTGTCATAAACTAGTTGGTCCCAATAACTCGAGTTGTTGGGAGAAGGTTCTGCTGGATCTTATACCACTCTCTAACACGCCTCTCAAACGAAAACCAACGCATGGGCTTGAAGTTTGCACAGGTCCATCATACCTTGTGCTTTAATCAATTGTTAATATTGGGGGTCGTGGAGATTCGAACACACGACCACTTGGCCAAACCAGCTCTAATACCATGTCAATAACTAGTTGATCCCAATAACTCGAGTTGTTGGGAGAGGTTCAATCGTGGATCATATACTACACACTAACACGCCCCTTCAAACGAAAGCCACTCACAAGGCCTTGAAGTTTGCACAGGTCTAAAGACCCCTTCAAACGAAAGCCACTCACAAGGCCTTGAAGTTTGCACAGGTCCGAAGACAAGAATATCATGTGCTTAACAAATGGGGGTCATCGGGAATCGAACACAAGACCTCTCATCACATAAGGCTCTGATACCATGTCAAGAACCAATTGATCCCAATAACTCGAATTGTTGGGAGAAGATTCTGCTGGATCTTATACCACTCTCTAACCATACTGTGGATGCCATTCTACTTATTTCCAAGAGAAATATCATGTAGCTAGATACTCTAACAATAATTAAGTACAGCGTAAACACAATCAAGCATGAAATAATTCCAAGTTTGACAAAAACCTTCATAATGATCCCTTTTTCTCCCACCATTCCTTGATTTCTAAGCAAACCTTCTATTGGGAAAGGGCTTTAGCTGTACCCATAGCAATATACCACCACAACTTCTAAAATTCCCTCCTTGTTCAAAAACACAAAACCTCGAAAAGTTGAATATTAATGGAGATTGCGCCCGTAATTACCGAATCTTCACATGATGATGAACATTGAACTTGAACAGCAGCAAGCTAAGCCCCCAAAAGAAGGAACGTAACCCTCCCTCTCCTTAAACTTAGGCTACAGTCTACACAACACATTAGCTAGATTCAAGCTCTCTATCTATCTCACTAAATAGACTCCATCGAAACTCGCTTTCCCCCAAAAACTACTCTTCCCTTCTCTGTATACTATACTTCTCTCCATCTCCCCCATTCTCTTGCTCTCCATGCTTCCTCCAAATTCCCTTGACAACCCTTCTCGGCCTCAAGTTGTTCCTCCATGGCCGCAATATTGAAACTACCATCACTAGCCTTGCTGCTCCTCCTCTGCCTCTCCCTTCTCTTCCATGAATTCTACGGCTTCAAGAGACATACGGTCATCACCCTCCAACCCATCAACCACATTCCATGCGTCCCGGCGGCAGCATCATGATGATGACCGGCCGGAGGTAGTGGTGAACCACAGGAAAGTTCTGGCCAGCAAGTTCGACTTCTCTCAATTCCGGAAGCCAACAACGACGACTCATCATCATCATCATCACCACCGTCATCGTGATCAGAAGGAAGATCACCGGCGAGATGGTGTAACGTCGAGTCCGCCGCCGGAGATCGATCCTAGATATGGCGTCGACAAGCGGCTTGTCCCTACGGGTCCAAACCCATTGCACCATTAATGATGATCATGATCAATGGTTAATCGTCATCATTGTTATGATGTTATCTCTCTCTCTCTCGTTGTTCTCTTTTGTTTGGTGCCAAAGTTACTACTAATTATGAATGCATCATCGATCATCATCTTCACCAAATGTTAATCATGATCAGGTTTGTTGAAATCATGATATCTTGAGGGACAATTAATATGAGAGAGTTAGCTAGCTTTCATGATTACCTTGAATGATACGTGTTAATTTCCTAGTATAGTAGTAACCCTTCCTCCCTCGCCGGCTCCAAATCCTTTGTTTCGTTTTGGTACCTTAATTTTTTTTTTAATTAATCACTTACCTAGCGTCCAGTTTTCATGATTAGTAGATATGTAATAGCTAGAGAGGAGATTTTATATATAATTTTGTAAAGATTATGATAAATTTTCATGAATACAAAATTTTGGGTAGGGTTTTTTGTTTTGTTTTTGTTTTGGGATCTCGTGAGAATGGTGATTACTGGATCTCTGTGGGTTTGGAAGGGGACATGAGTAGCTGTGACGGCACGGCATATAATAAATTACAGTATTAATTAATGATATTCATTAGCTTCACAGGCTTTTTATTTAATGCAAAGTGGTGGTGGTGGTTAAGTTTACAGCTAGCTAGCTTGGTTGCTTGCTTCTGGTTTGCTTGCGCTGAAAAGCGGGGCTTTTCATTTCTACATTTCCCCGTGAAAGTTTGGGTCGTACATGAAGCAGATTTTTTTTTTTTATATGCCCATTATTATACTACTAGCTAGTTTTAATATTGTAGTTGGTTTCGAATTTTGTTTTGGAACTTTAATGTTGAGGGATGCATGGCGTGATCCTTTTTAACGCGCTCCAGGTCCTAGGGGAGAAGAAAGAAGAGATCATCAAGCTGGTTGTCCTTTTTAGGTTTTTTATTTATAAAACATTTAACAGTGTGTACAAATTCTGATTGATTGCGTGAAGTTTATTATGAGAGTGTAACAAAAAATATAATCTTCTCATTTTTTCCTGCATGAAGTCTTGAACCCCATCATCAACAGTATATAAAGGGGCCGTTTGGATGGATTAGTTGTGAATGTGATATTTATAAAGTGAAATATTTATTGTTTTTTTTTACTGAAGTGAAATATTTATTATTGATGCGGTACTTATATGGTATTTCTGTAAAAGTTGGATAAATAATCTCATTTAGCTAAACCAATATTGGCATTTGTCATATTATTGAGCTACTTTTAGCTTCCTTAGCTTGAACTACTTTACCTCATTTTCCTTTATTTCCATTCATGCCACCATAAAACTAACCCCCAACATCTATCTTTATGGAGATCTCAGTAGAGCTTGATCAAGCATATTATGTGTTGTTTGAAGGGGAATTTAGGCTATGACATCTCCTTCCATAGTGCTTCTCCTCGATCTCTCTCATCGCACCTACTCTGGCTAGTGCTCTTGATTATCCTTCAACTAAAACTTATCTCATCTAACAAAGTTTGTTAAAAGTATGATTGTGAAACTCGTTATTCACCATTCACTCGTTATTTCCATGGTATAGTATGATTGTGAAACTCGTTATTCACCATTCACTAGTCGACACAAGTTCTCCCGTCCCAACTCGTTATTGTGAAACTTAGACATGTATTTTATGATTGTGAACTTGTTGTTTATGTATTAGAATTTGAATTCTGCTGTATATATAAAAAGTTTGTTAAACTAGATTATCATTTTATCCGCATAAGTAGTGACATTGTTAAGTGAGACAAATAGTTAGCATAAGTTTAAAAAAAAATTATACACAAAAACTTACGTTTTTACGCTACACTTTTATGTTTTACGCTTTTACTCATGTTTCCGCTTCTACGTAAACGCATATTTGACTACACTAGACACAAGATAATTAACCATGATCACATGTCGTCCTCGCAAAAATCTTCACTTACCTAACGCAAAAGCTAGCAGAAAGGCAAATCAAA